TGAATTTGAGAGTCAGCAGGGAGACTTTCGGCATTTTTTTAAAGGTCATTATATTTTTTTCAACAGTTTTATAAAAAACACTGCAATGCTGGAAAGTGTACAATCACATACTACGAGTGCTTTTGCTGGGATTATAACAGTTAGGCAAAATCATAAGGGGAGAAGCATATTTTAGTAGGGTTTTTATTTTGTTTATATCTTTTTACTTTATAATTAAAATAATTTTCTTTTTTGTTTATTCTAAACAATTCAGCCATTAGATCATTTTGAAATTTAATTACATTAACTTGGTGTTTTCCTTTGCAATATCATCAAATTAATCAACTGTGTCGCTTTTTACAGGTGTAATCACTGTAATAGTAAAATTGTGATATGCTTTGCATGGAAACTTCACAACTTTACTTTCCCACAATTTACAGTGTTTTTCTCATTATACCTGGTCACTTAACAACCAAATGGTCACTTACTGAAAAGGTTGTTAAAAACACTTGTTTTCAGTCAAACAACTGTTACAGCTTTTCATCAAATAAGTGGTTCCCCTTTAAACTGATATATGGTTTTCAAACAAACTGTTGAGAGCACTTAGATGTACAAGGTGTTTGCCCCATAAGTGAAAGAAGTCAATGATAATTTCTATAATAGTATATTTCACCTCTGTTCACCCAGCCAAGAAAGTTCAGGAGATTTATGACAGGTTGCAATCGGTATCTACTTTAAATTTTTATTTATTTATTTATTTGACAGAAAGACTTTTGAATTCATTGTGAATCAGAAAGTCAGTAATGGGTGGACTGATTTGGAATGGCCTCTCCTGTGTTCCTTTTCCACTCCAGAGAATGAAAAATCCTTTTTATGCTCTCTGTAAAATAAACTTCTGTCATGAAAGTCTTCAAACTCCTTTCTTTTACTCAAAGTTCAGCAAATTAGGTACCTATATAGCTTTAAAATCTAATTTAAACCACATTGAGTTGGACCCCTTATACTTTTGAAGGCAAACTCATTTCACTTAATTGCAGAAAAATCAAACTTTGAAACAAACAAAACTTCTTTACTGATGAGATTGCTTGTCATCTACACCAATTAACCAGGCTAAATTGGGGACATAACATCTTTTAGTTTGGTCCTGGACATATATCTTTTGGTTTTGGACACTTGTTTGAAGATGATCAAGAATGTGGAACTATGCCTGTGTCAGCATACAAAAGGGATCTATTTTTTATAAAAACCGAGCAAACTTTGAAAAGGTCTGTAAAGCTGGACCTCCTTCCTACATGTGGAAGGCAGATGTTGCAAGATAGTAGACATCCTCCAGTCCCAGTAGGTATCTGCAGAATTAAAAAAAAAATTACTGAATAAAGAAGACATGTTACAACCAAATACGTAGATACTGGGCCACCCCAGTGAAATTTACTGTCTGTTAGCATTTTTTTTTAAATGCTATGAACTTTTTGTGTGTATATGTGCACATATGTGTGAAATGGGGGGGGGGGGGGGGAGTTAAAAATCAGTACTAGTAATCAAACTGTATTTAAATCAGCCAGAACCTTGTCAAATTTTCTAATTTCATTCAATTAAAATTTTATTTATTATAATCTGCAGATCTAAGAATCTTCAAATTTCAGTATGAAAACCCTATTTTAGCATATACTAGTATAGGTTGTTAAACTGTATAATATATGAAACAATTCTGAATTACTTGCAGCTCAGCTAGTCCAGTTCAATAGCTCTAAAACTACCCAGGCTACTTTTTAAGGTCAACACCTTGTGTATATCAAACACAGCATCTGATGCCTTGTTTAGCAACACAATGTCAGAATCTTTTAACATCTGCATACAATACTAGGTAAGAGCAAGACACAAACAGGTGGATACCATGTGGGTTTATTCACTTAATTTTAACTATTTAACCTAACTATTAACAATTTGATGCCATATTTTTATCTTCAAAAATCAAAGACATTATCTTTCATTTGATCTAAGGTTGTCAACAAAAATACTGAAGAGAAATGGGCCGAGCGTCACATGATCATCTACACAATCATGGGTTTTGACGCATGTCTTAGATATAAGTATTAGGTGTCCTCTTATATTGGGCTTTCTGTACAGATAAAATCATTCAGAACAATATTCAATTTTTTAAAAGAAAATGCATATAAGAGTGGGGTTGATGATAAGGGATTTCCTTCACTCAACCAAATGTAATATCCTCACAGTTACTGTACACATATAAAAGCTATTTCTGCCTCTTAGACAGGAGTTATCACTTCACTCACCTTCCAACTGGGAAATTATTTTCCAGACTGTCAAAAAAAAATGTCACTTCCTCATCAAGCGTACACTTACTAGTAACTGCCCTGTCCACTTCAAGCGGGCTTTTAGAAAACCCTCTCACACAAGATGTACCCTTGATGTGAAATTTGAAAAGGGTCTCCATTAGTTATCTGGCCATCTTATTTATTGTATTCAATTTCAACAACTGTAAAAGTTTCACCGTTTCTGTCCTTGTACAGTATCCATGACTTACAGCCCTTGTCATAAAACTTATTTCTAATAAAGAACATTGAATATGATTCAGTTTTTCATTTATCTGTTTAAGTTGATCATACAGGTTAAACAATACATTTAAAGGTTACTATGGGTTAACACGGAGGGGCCGTTCAAGAGGTTACAAATTCAGACGGGGTTAACTGAGTGCTTAAACTACTAAAAAAGCAGCTGCAGTTGCCTCTGGGTGTCTGGCTACCTTGTTAACTATGTCTGCTTCCCCTTTCCAGTTTATAGACCCCTGTTAGCTGGTTGTTTGGTACTTGTCACAAAGCAAAATATCATTTCCTTTAGGCAAGAATATGAACAGAATGCCACCTATTGCCATAAGGCAACTGCAATTGTGATCAATTTATGCATTTATCCTTACTTCAAACCTTTTATTTTATCAGAGTATATTGTGAATTACAATTTTATCAAATTCATTATTGTCTTTTATTTCAAATAGCTCTTTTATTTACTAGTACTCAATTTTAAAATGAATGTATGAAAATACTAGAGATATCATGATGTAATTGCAATTTTAATTTCCTTCAATTTTTAATTGTAATCTGATGAGTTACAGTATTAAATTGAAGATAATGCAAGTTGTAAGGCACATTTATGGTAACACTGGCTATAATGCCATGCAGATGGAAATCCCATTTCATTTGTTGTAAAAAATATAGACCCAATTTACTGTCCACCAATTCCATATTAAGAAAAAAAAATCAACAAGGTTCAATGTAAGGCTCCTGAATACTAATGCAGATGTTATTTCCATCTCTTTTCTACAGCCATTTTTACAGCAATAACACTATAATAGCCAAATTTTAAGTGCTTAAAACAATTCAAACACTTATTTTCTTTTTCAGGATACCAAAATTTAGTTATACTGTCTACATTCCACCTAGCGAGGGGCTCTAATGGAAAGGTAAAGCAAATATTTGGATAAAGTTATTTATCCCCTAAGTCAGGGCTTTTAGGAAGTAGCATGCTCTGACTTTTATATCACTGGATCTTGTTATAAATAGAGAAACGTGTTTAAATGAAATCCGTGAATGGTGAATGTTCCATTACCAAAAGAACTGAAGTAAATGCCTTCCAATAAATGGATTTTCTCAATCAAAACTCAACATTTCAGATATTTATATGGTCAATTTTCATACTTCATGGGGTGATAATAAAACCAGAGAAACATTTTCTTCACAATACCACATTTACATCATATCACCACCAAACTACTAAACTTAAGGGTTTATCATTTTTTCATCATTCTTAGGCCATCTGATTTTTTTACTAAAATCAACAAATAAATGGTTTGATTTCACCTACCCGATATTCAATCTGTGAGTTTAGAGTTAGCATCAGAACAATGTGCATATCAGTGATACTCTATAGCTAAGAAATAACATGCTCTCCCAACTTGGCCCAAAAGTTTAATTGCAAGCAAATTGTGCACTTTGAGAAGCAGCCTCAGAGAACAGCTTTAGTTAAAAAGAGAACATTCAATCAAAAGGGCAGGTATAATTTTGTCTTATAGTGTGATAAACTCTGAGCTTGTTGACATGAGAACACCACCATAATTTGACATTAAACTATTTTGGACCTTCTGTGTCAAATAAAATAAAATACTTCCACTAGGAATGAATTATATTATAACTCTGCAAAGATTTATCACAGGCACAGCTTAAGAACTTTTTTACTAGTACTGGTGTCCTGTATTCAGAACATCATGCAGTCTCAAAGAGTCTTGAGAAAATGGCTTTTACTGAAAGTACAGATTATGGTTCTTTAAATTGTCAACAAATGTTGATCAAAATTGGCAATAATTACTTTTTGACAGTTTTAAAAAACCAAATGCAAAATAAATAAATAAATAATGACAGTCAAATACGTAAAAATTCTCTGCTGAATCACACAACAGACAGGTGTACTAAAATTGATTGGCCTATATGAGGGTGAATGCAATCTGAGTGTACTGCAGTGTTTTAGTACTGTACTGACATTACTGTTTTGTCTTGTACTATATTGTACGTCTAAGACCCCATTCCCATAGATATTTAAACCGATCTATCCCCCTGGGGGGTCTCACTAGATTGGTGTCAGCTTAACAGGCTTAAATATTTGTAAAACAAATAAATAATAATAATAATAATAATAAAATTAACAAAAACCTGTGTGAAAACTGAAATGCATTTTGAAATTTTTTCTGAAGGTTTAAGTTTTAAAAACACAACTACAGTCAAGTTACAAAGGTGTATCTGTGGCTATTCAAACCACGCCCTTTATGATACATTTCAGTCTTTCTTCTATAAACAATCCGTAATATTGACTTGCCGACTTAAGTCGAAACTTTCTAGAACTTCGCCGACCGTCCTTCTCACATAAAAATGAGTAAAAATATTTAATAACTACTGTCACCCATCCTCGGTAAAACACTGTACTTGATACCAAGTTTGACTAATTTTACCCACCACAGAGCTATTCTATCCTTGGGATAATCCAAATCTTCCAAATGTCCTAAGAAATGCGGTAAGGCGTGAGCCTTGTTGCGCGCTAGTATACTAATCATCACAGTTGGTTTCTGAGTCTTTGAGAAGCTTCCAGAGCTCGAATCATCCGAATTGATGTTTCCTTGAACACATATTCCTCTGAGCAAAAATAAGAGACACACGTTTAGGTACAAAAGTGAATATTTTCCCACTGACAGCATCGGAACCTGCCGAGCTACTGCCATGTTGGAATCTCCAATGTCAAAACGAGGTCAATGTACTCTTTTGTGAATGGGAAGCAGAAATATTAGTTACACACAGGTCTGGCCAGACAAACCGGTCTGAGAAGATATCCGACGAGTACGTCATGTTAAAGGGGAATGAATGAAATACGACGAGCAGAAAATCCGACACTGATATTCTGAAAAGTTGAATACTTTGCATCCAGCTTTCAGAATTCAAATTTGTAAACCAATTTAATCAGATGTAATCAAAAAATGTTTCTGTGTTCATAATATTTTTTTCTCCAAAGCAGATCTGTTCAGGGAAGGATCCAGGATTATTTGAAGGAGGGGTGGGGTGGGGGGGGGGGGGTGTACCGCAGATGCAAAGCCGACCCTCCCCCCTAATTTTGGTATTTTAGAGGGCGAACGATGCCATTTGGTGCAGTTTACAACCATGATTCAGCTAGTCAAAATTCTAATTTCAAGGGGGGAGGGGGGCATCGTTTTTTTTTTTTTAAGAAATCAAAAGGGGGTGGTTCAGGACTCCCCTTACAACATTAGAGAAATATAAATACATTCCTTACGTTCCGTTCTGAAATATCCATACACAGCGCACTCGTCATGTTAGAGGGAAAGTATGAACGGAATATGACAACCGGAAAATCCCACACTGATATTTTGAACAGTTGGTCACTTTTCACCCTGCTTTCAAAATTCATTTTGAGACTAGGTGTTATTTGATAATGCCTTTGTGTTCATAATATTTTTTACGCCAAAGGATCTGTTTATTTTGTATGGATCTCCAAAGTATCATAGCAGAGCTTTTCATCTTTACACTTCAACAACACCAACAAAATAATAATAATTTTCTTTAATATACTGATAGTTTAATAGCCTGCCATACATGTAGGATTTAAATTACATACAAAGAGTTCTAAATAGAAAAGGTCCATAAATAAATATAGAAAAAAAAGTTTTTCCAACAATTTCACTTTTCATGATCTTGATGAAATTTATCTCATATGATATATTGTTGCCATAAAAATTGCTATATAATGACAATATGAAAAATGGAAAATTCCATATCTATACACAATTATAAATTCTAAAGTATCAATTAAAATACTAGAGAAATATAGATACATTCCAAAGTACGCAGGTGCATTTTGCAATACTCCAAGTTAAACTTAAATTAAATTTCCTTTTTGAATTAGTCTTCAGCCTTGGTTGTCTGATTTTTGATACAACTCAGTTGTTCCCTTCTCTTTTTTACATTAACTGATTGTGACTAATAATGCAGTATTATAAATCAGAACCCAAGTGCTGGCTTTATCTAAAATATTAAAATGGATCACATCACATCTACCACATTCTACTGTTAAGTAGGTTCTTGCTTTATTCGTTTTTTCTCCTTATGATTTCTTGGTTGCACTTCAGCTTTAGTTCCTCTTTTACGACTGGTTGATACTTTCTTGTCCTTGAAAAAAATAATGTAAATACAATAAATATCATTTTGTTCTCTCTCAATTCCCAAACAAAGCACAACTAGCAGCATGGTCTTCTGGTTTCCTTTCAATCTCCTATCTCAAGCATCTATGAGTAGCTGCTCCAACATGTTACAATATGTCATACATTCATAAAAAATCATGCAATTTAATTGCAAGTAATGATAAAACTTTTTGTTACAGTACTTACATGTCCTTTGGTTTCAACTTTTCTGTCTTGGAACTTCTTCAAATCTGCACTAAACAATACCTATAAGAAAGATAAACATAACATTTTTGTCACATAGCTTTAAATAAGTTAATCATTTACATACAGTTTACAATACATGTAATATTTGGAAGCAATAACATATTTCAGAAAATAATGACCATATAGCATTTAAATCTGGTTTTAACCAGTTTAAACATGCCTAAGTGAATTTTGGCATAAGGAGACCAGCATATTGAGAAATCTTGTAAGAAATAAGGAAAACATTCAACTGACAGAAAGTACCCTGATAACCAAAAGTGAAACATGTAGATTCTGTTGAATCTGATATTTCATTTTTAAGAAAGAAATTATTTGGTTATATGCTTCTTAGGATGACTAAGAATATCCAAAAGCAAATGTCAATTGTCAATCAAATCAATATGATTTTTAAAAAGTGTATAAAAGCAAGATGAAGTGTGCTTTGTATTATATTGTGTGAAAGTACTCACAGAATGTGCCCATCCAGCATAAGGTCCCCAAAGACCTCTGAAGAAATCTCCTGTAAAAATATAACTAAGTTCATAAGTTATGACAAATAGCCCAAAAACGTGTCTATTTATTAACCAATTTCCATGATAAAAATCCTGATAGGAGTTTTAAAATTACATATTATTGCAGACACTGCCTTTTTTCCTGATAAAACATCTTTAAAATACGAAACAAAAGAGGTGGAATTGCATGCTTTATGTCACATAGAAACAAAACTATAAGCAGTGACTATAACAACTACTTCTTTACATAAAAAGTTCTTAAGTAGACCATGTGTTATTATAAAAATTTGATCTCACCGATTTGCTTGTAAGTTGCATCAGTCATTGTCTTATTACTGTTCAGTTTGGGTATATTGTAGTCTCTGATTGCTATCTGCCACACATGAGTGTCCACTGGGATAGCTTCAGCCTTGTCCAGAGACATCAGACACACACAGTCTGCAACCTTATTTTGGAAGAAGCTTTGCATGGTTAATCATAGTACCATATTTTAAAGTAATTAAAACTCTACCTGTATTTTATAAAATTTTAATTCTGTACAAAAATTCTGCATTATAATTATAAATGCAGAGACATCTGAAAAGCAGCATTATGCATACATACATAAAGTGAGGAAAGAACTGTATTTTTTCATTTTTTTTCATTTCTTCATTTTTGTATGAAAACAATGTTTACAAATAAAAATTCAAACATTTATCAACATTTTTTTTCTATATAAATGTACCAAATTATTCAAGTGCTGCTATTTTTGTATTTTATCTGCTGAGTTCTGGCATTATGAAATACCTTGGCTCCAACACCACACAACTTGAGTAGTTCCCCATGAGCATCTTGGTATGACTTCCCCCTCAGGGAGTACAGCCATTCAACACTGTGATTTGTAACAATATACTTGGCTGTCTCACTTATGTACTTGGCCCTGAAAAATATATGGAATTATTTTCAATTAAAAAATATGTGGCACATCTAAGCATATCAGATTTATTACAAATTTAGTTTAATAAGACATAATTTTTTTGTTTTGAATTTCATATTTGACTCAACTTCTCTACTATTGAAGGTGAATTAATCATATAAGAATTTGATTATTTACAAGCTCTCAATAGTCATGGTCAGCTTTATCTGAGGAAAAAAAAGCAGTGAAATTTAATAGATAACAAGACACATGGTAACAGTTTACTGGATAAATCAAAAAGTGTACCATAACTTCTTTATGGCATTTGGAACTTATGATAATAATCAAATAATATAAATAAATAATAATAATCAAAAGTTGATCTGGAGATCACAATTTTATACCAATTTTTTTTCATTACTGTCAGATCAGCACACCCACCTGTATCCAAACCCCAACTCCCGCAGTGTCTGCTCTACCTGTCTTCCAGTCAGTGCTTCAATACTGGGAAAGGTAAAATAAGGTTCCTTATCAAGTATTCCAACTTTCTCTCCATAAGTCTTACATAGGTTTTCTACCATACCACTAATCCTGCTGATATTATTATTGGAAGAGCAGATAAAGGCAAACAGATTTTCTACAGGGTCCTGGCGAAGAATACGTACACCAGTAAAATCTGCTGCCACTGCCTTAAAATGAGGATCGGAGGCACTCCAATGTCCATAAAGATCTTCCAGGTTTACACCCAGCTGAAAGTAGTTCTTAAGCACTACTGAATACTTTGAGCTAGAATTATCACTATCAATAAGTTGTAGATTTATATTAACATTGTCAGACGTGTGAATTTCTTGTTTAATACTTGACTTCTTCAACAACTTATCACATCCCTGATTTGATGCATCTCTTTTCATTTCTATTTTTGATTTTGTTTCCTGAGGATCTGGCAGAGGTAATGATGGTCCATTGTAACCTTTTTCATAAACTCTGTAGATAATCTTGTCATCAGTTTGGCCTAATGTCCATATGTTGCCTGCAAGTACACTGGTCCACTGACCAGGGCTAGTTTCTTTCCACCTAAATAAAACAAGCATGGCACATTTTAAACACTGATTTGATAAACAGACTGTAAATAATAATAATAAATATTATTAATGCGTTTAGTATATGAAGTTCATAAATTAACAACAAGTTCAAACTTTCAATTTACTTAATCTGTCTGTCTGTGCTCACACCCACACCAAATTGCAGCTTATTGTCTGCAGAAAATAACAATTTTAACCACTGCCCTATTTTTAGACTTAATTCTGTTCTGTTGCTTAATATAAAGAAATTCTTCTTCAAAACAACCCCAAGAATGTGTGTTTAAGAGAAATCATGCGGATCAGCACCCAGGGTTCTCACTCTTAGCCATCAAGCTAATGTACTGTGCATACAGAGGGTGCTAAATAAGGTTGAGCTAGAGCAGTACTAGTCTAGAGTAGGTTTGAAAGGTAAATTACCTAAACGACTGGCCACATGCAAGGGTAATATCAAGCTTTACTTCACTTGATTTACAGGAAATCCACCCTGTATTTGTCATTGTTTGTTGCAGCAAGCGTGCACGCCTGTAACTAGTACGAAATTGGGATTTAGTAAGGCTTAATCCTATCAAGAATGTCATTTCATGGGCGCCGCCATTTTTTACGAAATGGGCTAGGTGGCGTTACAAGATAGCCTAATACTCAACTGGTGATGCACGGTTTGTCTCATTTTCTGCTTCCATAAAATGAAATCTATATTTTTGAAAGAAATTAAACTAAAATTTGTTGTAAAATCCTTACGGTATGATTGTAATGATACTGCTCACAACAAAACAATAGTCCATCTTGTGTTACCAATGACAACATACATGGTTTACAATATGGCGGACAGAAACCTTTCCAGAAAGGACACATGAAGAAAAAGTAAGTTTCATAATGCAGAAAACTTAATTTTAGATGTAAGCAACTATTGATACAACTACATGATTAAAATGGCGAAATATTTTAATTATTTCCACTTTCAACTGTTTTCTTAAATGGTTTAAGTAGTCTTTGCTAAGTGGTAGCTGCTTGCCTCAGTTTTTTTTTTCATTACTGTATGTATCATAATTCCTGTAAGACCGATGGAATAGGCAAAGATTTGTTTCTGCATTTTGTGCGTTTTAAAAAAGATATACTAAAGTGTCTATGGATTGTTAAATGATAATTCAAATCATTGCAATAACTTGTATGATTCAATCAAGGGTCGGAGCAGCAGCTAACAATTGCAAAAAAATGCCCATACAATTATTGCCTCAGTTTTCAGCCACACACGCTAGGTATACTTGTAGCTGGTAAGGTAAGGGTGCCCGCAGCATGTAAGGCCAAAAACTGAGGCAAATACTGTTACATCTTGTTTGATTTCTTTATTGATAATTGTTTAATCTATTTGTAGATCAAATCACTTTTAAAAAACAGAACTCATCATGGTTAGCATCCCGGACTGGTCTCGCTTCTCTCGGATGGGGGAAGTGGCCCCTAAAGTAGTTCAAACATCAAAATATCAGCTTCAGCGAGAGAGAGAGGCAATAAGAGAAGCAGAGGAACATGGATATTTTTTTGTTCCCAACAAAACATTTCTACTGCAAACATTTTGTGATAAACAGGATAAAGAGGAGAATAAAAAACTAGTCAGAATCAAATATATCAAACTACCAGGCCTGCATTTAAGAAGTTTAGGAGATATTGGACAATGCACAAGACTTAGAGTTCTGGTTTTGAACTCAAATTTCATTCATAAACTTGAAGATTTAGCAGCATGTAAGGAACTCATTAAGCTGGACTTGCACAATAATCAGGTAAAGTAGAATATTTGAATTTATATCAATATCCTTATTTCCCTTGTTTACTAAACAGAAGAGGCTCATTAGTTCAATACCTGGATTATTTCTTGAGAAGTTCTCTTATCAAAGGCAGTGATATGTCTATATTATATTATACTACAGGCTAGCAAGTATCATCTTGAATGAATTTCTCAGACTTGAGTTAATTAGCAGTGAGAGTAACACTAATTTGTGATAAATTTCATTATAAAATAATATTCAAGTGATCAAGAATACACATGAATATTTTTATTAATAAATAGCTCAAAATTATTTTAATCATAAAACTTCCATATCCCACTTCTATGTTTAACAAGTTGTTTTTTTATATATATATAAAGCTTAGCACACTGCCTGGTAGTGCATTCTGGTCCTGTCTCCGCAAACTGAAGCTGCTGTATCTTCACGATAACCCTATTGGCAGGATAGACAACCTGCAGCACCTAGCAGGCTGTCCAAACCTTCAGGCCCTGACACTGTATGACACCCCTCTTAGCCTGAAGAAGAACTACCGACATCACGTAGTCAACAGCCTGTGGAACCTGAAGGCATTGGATTATTATGTGATTTCTGATGAAGAGATTATTGAAGATGCAGTGTTTGGTGGACGGTTTGCAAGCATGTCTCCTGCATTCAGGATTGACCTGTGGAGGCCACTGGCAAAGGTAATTGTAGAGTTTAACTCACATGTTAAGGCATGCTAAATTAACTCTTAATTACGTTGAAACTAAATGCTTTATTTCATGTAGATTGCCAACATTACATTAATTTTTCATATTTTATAAATTTAATGTTTGAAATTGATACTTTTTAGTTTTTGAATATTATTACTTTGATGAAATTTATTAAATCTAATCCAATTATTATTTTATGAGGAACTAAGTTTTTTTATTATTATTATTTTTTTTTTTTTTTGTAATAGGATAGCTCATATAGAGATGAGGTGGCATCAATAAAAAGCCTCCTGTCAGATCTGAACAGGATTCTTGCCCATTACTCCCCAGTGTTGATTGCACAGAAGATGATCAGGGGATATCTCACTAGAAAGAGATATAGGCTGATACAAGACACGAGAGTATGGTAAGGACTGGTGCATTTTTGATGTTAAGATTATCTTTTGATTTAAACAAGGCACACAACTCAGTTGTCACAGTTACTGTACAAATCGAGCATGTGCGTGTCAAAGTTTGAGCTCCAGTTGAATGTCAATAATTTTGCTATAAAATCTAAAAAAACGTAATTCTTAACCAGGTCAAGTTATATAACAGACTGGATGAAAACTTATGCTGGTCATGTCATTTTAGGGGAGCAGTCTCAATCCAACGTTTCTACAGGAACTACAAGGGACTTCCACAATACTCTAAAGAGAACTATCGCCTTCCCCCTCCACCTTCTCCTTCCCCCATCTTTGATAAACCTCCAAGTGCTTCCATACCTCCCAGCAGGCCGCAGTCTGTAGAGATAAGGGTGGAGTATGATGAGTACATGAAGAACAGGAGACCTGGCTCCACCACAGCTCTCAGTGAAATCACAGCTGTGGCAGCAGCACAGGTAATGTTGATAATCAAATATTCATTTCTCATTTTCATAAGCTGAATGATCAGAAGTTAAATGCCAAATTTCTTCAACGCTGCAGAACTATTGTGGTAGAGCGTGTCTAATTATGTTAAGTCTGGTTGTGAATTCAGTGGGTTACTGTCTTTTACATGGATATTGATTTATCAGTTTCATGGAGTTAAAGTAAGCTTTATACTCTGATGTGTAATTTCTGTTTCGATTGGGTAAAGGTGACTAAGAGGGCTTTTTCATTTTCAAGTTTTTTATATACAATCTTATAAGATTAAAACATCAGTTGAAACCAAGTTAATCAACCTGTTTCCCATTGTATTCTACAGAAACCCACATCACCTGAGCCAGCCATTGTTGAGAAAAGATCAGAAGGCTCATCCAGTGCAAGTAAAAAGAAAAGAAGCCTCCACATCAACCTATCAAAACTGCAGACAGGAACTCTTCAGAACCTCCAAGATGAAACCACTGCTGTTGAGGTCATTTTATCAGCAAGAGATGGCACACAGCTGGGGATGGTCAGATCAGAGACCGATTTAAAGAAGAAGAAACGTAAAAAGAAAGAAGAAGACGAAAAACCAAAGAAAGTGGTGAAGTCTGTTAAACAGTTCTTTGGACCAGTTGTTCAGTCGACAGTCACACCAGAACCTCCGGTGAAGGAAGAGGAGGAGGAGGAAGAAATACCAGTGACAGCATTCCGTTTGAGAGGCCTGCCTCAGAAAATCCATGAAGTAGATCCACTGGCCGAGGTCATCTTATCTCGTAAGGAAGCAGGAAGAGATGTACGAGTAGGAGAAGCAGATATTCACAAGCAGCTAGAAAATATGCCCAGACCCAAGGTTACGCCCAGACAGACCCTAAATAAAGACAGGCATGGCTTCATGAGAATGCAAGGCACTATGGGTTTGTCTTGTTTACATGCGGTACAGCAGGCATACAAAGATCGGGAGCGTGCAGAAAAAATGGCACTTAAAATGGAAAACATCTTGAGCATGCGGGAGACTAAAGAACATGCCAAGGAGCGCGTGCGCATGTATCACGAGGAAAAAAGAGCTAATGCTTTAAAACAGAGAGAAAAAGACCACATGAAAATGATTGAGTTGATGGAAAGGAGGGAGTTGCAATATCTCAATTATATTGACAAAACACATGAAAGGCGGAATAAGACGACCACGTTTTCAAAAGGAAGAAATGCTGAGCTTACTTTTGTCTCAGATTTTAACACACAACACACTTCTGTTTCCAATGCTCTGATGAGGCATGACAGACAAGCCAAGAAAGAAGACACACTGACTGAGAATGCAGAAGCTGTTCACACTACAAAGGAACAAGAGAGAAACAAACAAGAATTGGTTGATAAATACCTTGAACACAGAAAGTTGATGCGTCAAACTGAATCGACCATGGCTCGCACAACTCTTGACACAAAGATACTCCAGGAGACAAATGAGCGTATAATGGAAGCAAGAGCTAGAGTGGCAAAACTGAAGACACGTAAAAAGCAGGTCCAAGATTTCTATCCTCTCCCCAGTGTTAGCACAGTCCCAGAGGGAGAGTCTCCTTTGCCAGCCATGCCTGGAATTAGCAGATGGGAAACCTCCATCCTTATGCACAAAGGGAGAGTGGGTAAACACCCCACTATGTTGTCTAGTTAGTGGGACACTGTTGATCCGATTAAAATTTGTAAAAATTGGCAGCCACAGGAGATATGAATAGGGGACAGAACTATTGTGTTTAAATGGTGATAGTTGGAGGGCACTTGTCCATGTTACACCTTTGTGTTACTTTTTATATGTGAAGTTCCTATTAAAGTGCCATGCTCTGTTCATCAAAATTGTATATATGTCCCGTAGCAAAGTGAGGCTTTTATTCACAACTTAAAGAAAAATTTAAGAAATCAAAGGCAATTGTTAAAATATCAAACCTTAACAAGCGTCATGTGAGCAATAAATCTGCATGTTGGGAAGTCAATTTTCATGTAGAAATCATGAAATTCCATTAATTGAGAAGGTGCTAATAGAAGCAGTATTTGTTGATTGACTTTTCTTCACACATTTTCTTCAGTTTGTTTTTTATAGTAAGATAAACCAATGCCTCAACATAAGTATGTTTCATGATCAAGACAGAGGTGCCTGGGCATTCCCAATATCACACCAGTGATAATTTAGCATCCACAACATTAGGATTATGTCAAATATATGATTGATCATATATCATTTGTATACATGTCATATCATTATTGCAATAACTCCTTCATTATCATGTTCAAAATTCTGTAAATAGTGTAAGTGATATATGTAAATTAATTGATGAGCTTTAAGAAATAAAGATCTGAACTATAATTGTGCCATGTTTTCATTTTTATAAAATTATAAAACTTCACCCCTCAATAATCCTCTTCAGTTTTAATAAATCATTTCATAAAGTAAATAAAAATCCTTAAAACATCCAAAAACAGTATTTTGGAAGTTGATTAAAGATTAAAGGAAAATTGTGCTTAGATGAGACTTGCTAAAGACCCCAGAAAATTCAAAAGCAACAATTAGTCTAAAATCCCACAAACTGACCATGACACAAGTAACTGTAATTTTCTTCACCGTAAAACATTGAATTGTAACTTAATATTCAATGTCAAACCAAATAACCTAGATGTACTGCATTCTACATGTACCAGTGAAGCCATTTAAGCACAATTTATAATGACATATAACTGTGCATGGGAATTTTAAAATGCATAAAAACATGAAGAATTGCATTTTGAATTGAATTTCTTTATTTACAAAAAAAAAAATTCCGTCTTATCATTTAAAATCTTGCTGTATTTTCCCATCATAAAGATGGACCGAAAATTACTGCTGATCAGTCTCTCACAAAATGTTGCTTAGTTTTGATGAAAAATATTATGAAGTTCAACACTCCTGCACTGTCATATAAATCTGATTGTAACAAAGACCTTGGGGTGCAATACATTGCCAATAGCAGATCAACAGATCAAATGACTAGAGTCCCATTTATCACTTCCTTTTTTTGGCGACCTTCGTTGCTTTGATCCTATCAATGTCTGTTTTCTTGAGAACCTGTACTCCACCCCTGAATCTTCCCAGTTGACCATCAACAAAACCTATGTCATCTCTGTCACGTTTCCTAAAATTGAGGGAAAATAAATTTTACAAAAATGATAATTTTCATATTTATTTTTTATGATTTTGAAATAATAACAACTCTTGCACATATAAAGAAAAGGTCCNACTTATCGTGTTATCGGTAAAAGTGCACGGCGACGGCGATGACGGCAACGACAGACGCAGATGACGGCTATATGTACAGACACATCTGTGTCTGTACATAAAAAGGACATGGAAATAGTGGACAGTGCATGGCTTAAGATGCAGTGACTGTACTAGTTAAGTCGACTGATACCTAAAATAGAGATGCAAGAAGAAACATTACCACTTTTTTTTAAGTGGGTGCAAGCATTTTTTTCCTGCCTTCGAATTGTCACCATAACAAAAATCATGACATATTTACCTTTTCTTTGCATCTCTTTTCTGCTTCTTTGCAACTCCAAGCTGCTGCTCCTAGAAACAAGTAAAAGTTACTTTAAATTTGTTTGGAATATTTAGAACCTTATCATGCCGTACTAGAGATTTCTGGAGATTTTTCTTGACCAATCACTAACAGCAGTTACTATAAACATATTTTATTGAGGGTAAAAACTAGTAAGAATTTGCTAAATCATATTATTTATTATAGTATTACCTGTTCCCTCTTCTTCTCTTCGGCATCTCTTTCTGTCTTCTTTGTCTCTTGAAGGCTCTTGTAATTCACACACTTGTTTTTCTTAGGCTGTAAAGAAAGTTGCTTCAGAACTACTAATTGCACAACTGACAGTATGAATAAGTGCACTTCTCAATTCAAAGATGTACAAAAAAAAATCCCATCAACTAAAAACATATAAAAGATCCATATACTATATACCTCTAATAAAACACTCACTTTAGCCCCAAGTTTAATGGCAAGTGCAACTTGGGCCTCCTCTTTCTTAGACTTGTCAAAACCTGTGATCCCAAATTTGAGCACATCCCATCTTGCTTTCCTCAGACTGAACTCCAGCCCACTGGACCCTACAGCTGACTGTGACACACTGGACAGTGAGGGCCCAGGCCCAGATATTAATGACTTGACCTGAAAGGTGAAATGGACAGTTTTATATTCATAAGGTGGATGTTTATTTTGACAAGGAACTCAACATTACATTTTTGAAATTCTGTTTTGATGTTGTCTGAAGTATTGAACTTCACTTAATTGTTTAAAATACCTGCAGGCATCTAAGATCTACTAAACATGAAAAGGCTTTTTCAAAGATCTCCATCATACAAACTTACTGTAAGTAACCAAATTAGAGATATTGAATTTTTTTCAACCAAAAGCCGTAAAAAAAAGAAAAAAACATTAATTTAAAAAAAAGGATAAATTATAAAACATAAAGAAGACAACCCCGTCTAAATATCTTGCCAAATTCATGAATGTACACAGGTAAATGATAATATCATGAAAAAAAAAACAATTTTAAAGCATCTCCTCAAAAACCACAACACCAATGTCCTCACCTTCATATTATCCTTTCTCTTTGCAGGATCTTCAAATACAATGACTTCAGGAGATCTATGGTTCTTTTCTACACTGTTGGTAGACACATTCAGCTTACTTTCCTGTTCATTATTGTTCGTTCTAAAACTGGAACCATCTAAGCCAAGTTCTTCTTTCAGGTCTGAGAGGTGTCTCTTTTGGCCTATCAGTTTCCTTTTAATTTTTCTCTTTTCTGAAATATCATTTTCTGTCCTGTTTGTTATACCCTCTGATTTATTTCCCATGTCTTTGTTTTTTTCTTTTTTCTTTTTGTTTTTTAACTGTCTCAAACTGCTATCTCTGCCATTTGATTTTTCAGAGTTTTCAAGATCTGAGGATAATTTTTCGCATGAAGTTACAGCTGATTTTCCCTTTCTCTTTGCTTTCTTTAACCTCTTCTGATAGTCCTCTTCATCTAACAGACTGTCGGCTGAAATATTTATAGAACATTAATTTTATAATTTGAATAATCCTTATCAGAGGACAAAGTTTTGAGAAATGAAATCAGGTCAGATGGTTAAAAACAAGGTATTTTATCAAGTTACTCAGTAATTAATGCATCATCTATAAACTATTGTAAAATAAAGTTATAATGTACACAGAACTTAAGATCCAAAGCATATAATTTACCTACAAAAAAAACTAAAGTAAATATAACTGTTTCCATTGTGATTTTTGTTTATTTGTCTATGGGTGTGTTCCCAATGAACAATAGTTCTAGGTAGATCAATCCAATTCCCCAGGGAACCTCAAATCATGCAAACAGATGAAATGAATGACAAATGCCTCCCCAAGCAGTTATCAACCCCTAGCTGCTCGAAGAGGCATTTTATTAAGTTAATCTGACTGCATTCAGCAGGAATTGAATCAATGTACATAGAAAGGTTCACTGGGAAAGTGATCTATGTCTTCACAATACATCATCAGCTTTAAAGCACTGATGTTATTGAGACTTCTCAAAATACCAAAATACCATCTAGTTGAATGGGTAGAAAAAAGAACAAGTAAATACATACATGTATCTTCGGCTCTATTCCCATAGATTTTAGATCGATCTATCCCCGCGGGCAGTCTCACTAGATTACTTTCAGATAATCCGACTTAAATGTCTGTCCCGCCTACTACAAGCTGTAAGGGGGTAATTAACTGTCGTGTCCGCCCGGCTGACAGCTATTTAGCAAGAACCCCCAGGGAGTTAGGTCGATCTAAAGTAGGTCGATCTAATCTATGGAAATGGGGTGTAAAATACATGTGTGTCTGAAACACTTTACAATAGATCATGACAACCTAGAATACCATGTCCTGTGCTTACCATAGTTGCCCAGTCTCTGCAAAAGCTGCTCCTGGAGTTCTGATTCTATATTACTGGTCATTCTGACAATAAAGAATATGATATAGTTATCAAGTCTTTTGTGCAAATATTTTCATGCACTTAATTTGTTGCATCAATATTACATCAATTACACACTGGTAACTCCTTGCATGTCTTGCTAGTACGAGTTGCCTCTCTCTGCTACTACTAGTATTGACCGCTGGTATCCTAATACTAAAGGAATACTAGCTAGGTTACCACTACTGCTTCATACTTATTGTTACCTGTACTAGTACTACTACTGGTACTAGTAACTAAACGTGTGGCACAAGTTGATGTCATTGCCATTTAATGATTTACAAGCAAGGATGACAAACAGATACACTACGTACTACGATTACGACACTGTAGTTTACTGACCTCCTGTGTGATGTCCCAGTACCCAATTTATTTAGCGATTACCAGTTAATTTCTAGTTAATTTGAACGCACCGACGACGTTGTGATCCACATGTTATCGGGAGAAGCAACAGTCTCAAGCATGCAGACGTGCCATCTTAGGTCACAAGGTGGCTGCCATATGCTGTCTAAAGCCAAGAGTGATATGTCATCTCAGGCCACACGGTTTTACACACACACACACACACACACACACACACAGAGAGAGAGAGAGAGAGAGAGAGAGAGAGAGACGGAGACGTTACTTCCTGAATGTGAAACATCTGCATAGTATCTCTTGAGGGCAGGAAAAGACAATGTGCTACGGAGTGCCTGAGTATTTTCAATACCATAACTTCAACCAAAAGTTGCTATCTTTACCAGGAATTTTTTTTCTCTTAATAAATTAATAACATGATGTAATGGGAAAGTCTGAACAAGGCAGCAAAGCTGTCAAATGTACAGACAAAAAACAGAAAATAAAGATGCAAAAAAAGGTCATTTTGTCAATTCTGATGTAATAATAAATAATGCTTATGATAGCACAGATGAGTGTCAGTCAACACTGAATTTTAATCATGCACAACAGATAACATGGTCAATAACAGGAGCGGACCCTGAGATATTTTCTGACAGTATTCCAAATATCTATGTTGATCCATCCTCCATTTTGATGGTCTTCCAACAGAAAAAGCAGTCAATATTAACTTAATAACCTGACTGTCTCC